CTGCTCTATTTATATTTTCATAAATTAGCACAATCATAAAAGACATTCTATATTCATAATCATCATCTTTAACATCATTACGGCCTTTACAAAATGCCACAAAACTCGGTTCTGAAACATCTGCACCCATTGACTTCCTGCATGTCTTACCAGGTCGTCACTTCAGCTACTTGGAAGCGGGATGGATAGATAACTATTTAGTTACAACTATTTAATTAGTATAAAGTACGTCATTAACGCATTATAGTAAATGGTGACGAGCGAGTACACAGGCTGCCTAACGATATGTGAGTGCTGTGATCAATACACTCCTGAGGACTAAGATGAAAAGAGTCATCGTCTCGATGCATTTATAAAACAGCTGCAGCATTGCTTTTCATTTATTCATTATAAGCTATTAAAACTCCACTGCTGACCAAGCATTCCCCATAGATTTTGTCGTAAGCGGGATGTAACCCATAGTAGCCATGCTTGGCAGACGGGTTGACAACTGAGTTTTGTTCATTATTAATAATTTTTATATGGAAAATGTTGCTGACCACCTCCTGTTTAAGTTTTCCTCGGTCACATCTTACGACACTCACGGTCATGACATAAGGTATAGGGTATTATTACTCAGTCGCTACACGGCCAAACCCCGCATAGTATACCCTATCACGTATAAAACCTTAAACGTAACTTTGGTTAGTAGTAAAACTGTTTTGATGATTCCAAAGTACAACGTACGAACAACAAAGTGCGAACGAAATAAGTGGTGAAATTAAAACTTAAGACGTCAATATACAGGGTTATTTTGCAATTACCAGCCAAATTTGCCGAGAAGCTTCAGAATAAGTAAGTTACATAGATAAGTGGTGAAGAAAAACTAAAAATACTCGTAGAATCTCCAACATTCCGTCCTTTTTATCTTTTAAATTTAAAACGCGTGGCAATGCAATATTTTAACGGATTATACTGCGCACGCAAACATATTTAAACATATATGTTATCATCAATATATATATATATATACGAGTACGATATTTAAACATATTCATATGGGTCGATCGGTAGCCCAAAATGTTGTTTCCTATAAATCACATGCAATTTGGGATAATTTCAAATAAAAGTAGCCGCTTTATTTACTCGTATTTTCAAAAACTGCAGTAACGGTATATCATTATTTATATATTCGAACTTAAGTTTATTTTGAAAAATAACCCTGTATATAAAAATGAGAATATCATCAATGTAGTCGAAGTCAATTAAATACGCATTATTAAGTATAACACAAAAAATACTGCTCAGATCTTGATCAAACTTATAAGGAATCACATCAGAAGCATAAGCTTTCAAATAATAAAATAATAACTTAGAAAAAGTTCTGAAAAACAAAAATACAGTCGAATTGAGTACCTCCTTTTTTTTTGAAGTTGGTAAAATGCGCACAGTATGAAACGGATGAGATATTTTAAGCGATTTACTTATTTCTCGTATAAAAGAGAATAAGTAGAGCGAATTGAATTATGTAATTGTTTTCAATTTATAGAACTTAAAATAAATCCTCGCAACTACAGCTATGTTTTCTTTGTCAACAAGGTCCATTTCCACATTCGACAGTTCTAGGGTGCGACGAAGCATGAAATCGTTAGAGTATATTATAGCCTAGTACAGTTATGTCCGATGATAATTATTTTAACGTAACAAGACATTTTGCAGTATTTTGTATTTGAGAAATAAAATGTCCCAAAGTTACCTATCCTCTCGGCTGTCCAAAACCTTCTAAAAAGGCGAAATTTTATCGTGATAATTCTATTGCGCTGTGTGTGGCCCAGGCATAAACTCAAAATGGACGCCACGGTCGCTCTATATTATATGGCACTTAATTTTTTTTTACTATGTTTTTGGCAACGGGGGACAGTTTTAGACGGCTGTATTATTTATTCAAAAAGATCTTATCAATTTATTTATCTTTCCATTACTTCAAAAATTGTCGTAAATCCTAATTTAATGTTACATATCTGCTACGCACGATGTCTGTGGGCCGCCCAAGCGAAGTTCATCGCGATAAAACGCTTCAATGTGCCAGTTTACAGACGGCGAAACGATAAGCTTGCGACTTTGCACGAAGTGATGAAATAGTCACGAATCGTACTTATTACGATTCGATTTATAATGTTCAGTGTATATTCATGTATAAACACTATGTATAAAAAATATTCCTTTTACCAAAAGCTAAAGTGGTAACGGGCCGGCCATGCAGCTCGAAAAACCGACAATTGATGGGGAAGATAGGTTCTAACGGTAAGTAGTTCTAGTGAATTATCTGGTTAGAAATGCAGGAAGTCATTCCATCGGGAAGGCCTATATGTTCAGCAGAAGGGCTGTTATGATGATGATAATGATGATTCGTTCAACAACTTACAACTATGTAAAACCACTCAAAATAAAACCACTTTAAGCCATTAAGTAAATTGTTGAATCAGTACTATGTTTGGAATTGGTTTTTCTATATATTTATAGACAGAATAACGAATCGTAAGGTAAACGAAACAATTATATATTTATTATATATATACAATATATATTTATATACAATTATAATTATAATGCCAGCCCCGAGAACTGAGATTGAATGCCTCGTTTCCAGTAAAAAGGGTCTCCGGTAACCAATCTGTGCAATAATTCGCATGAGTGCACACCGTACTGGAAAACTAACATTCAGACATGAGCCGAGTCATCATCATCATCAGTCCACAAACTGATGAAGATGTAAATGCCAACTGGCTAACTGCACTAACATCACAATTTGTATTATAAAATAATTACGCCTCTGAAGGCTTGCGAAAATCTCTACGCCGATGGAGTTGTCACTTTCAATATTAGAACTAAAAGATTACTTGTATCCTCAAAAGTAGTTAAAATTTTGTCAAATCTTGAGTACTTAGTCCATACAATGTCATTAAACTGATCATTGCCACTAAACCCGTCTGATAGTAGATTCTGTGAGGGTTGACACTTCTAAAAAGGAACTATATATTACAAGTTTCCTGCACTACAATTTTTCCAGACTCAATTATTATTACTTTTACATTCATTAAGAACTACTCAAATATTATGGGATATAAACAAATAAAAAAACTGTACCTTTGCTCCCAATTTAATTTTTATATTTATATATAATCGGAATCTCGGAAACGGCTCCAACGATTTTCATAAAATTTAGTGCCCAGGGAGTTTCGGGAGCAATAAATCGATCTAGCTAGGATTTATTTTTAGAAAATGTCTTTTTGGCCGTGTTTTCAGGCAATGAAAAACTGCTACAATATAAGAAGGTAAATTTTTGACACTTTGTTAATGATCGTAATAGCTCAAGTGGATATCGAGCGGTCGTGAAATCGTAATGCGTCTAAATGCTCGGTTATCGTCCCGTCTTAGGTCCGACTTTTTTTCTTTTTTTTTTCAAGTTCCCTTCTTTTGTGAGAAAATCTATTATTTAGAGCCCCTTTTTTTAGTATTTTTTAAAAATACGAATATACGGTCATCCGGGTACTTTGTAATTAAAAAGGCATACGAGCAAAGTGGCGAGTGTTTGAAAATAAATACAAAAAAACACTCTTTTCAAATAATCATTGTATTTTTTTCAGAAAATTACAATGAATCTAATCAATGTCTCAGTAGTAGTTTGATATTTATAGGTTGAATGGAATAATTTCAGGGTCCCGTTGAGAGAATACAAAATTAAAGCAAGACAGAGAAAGTCCATTAGGTTTTATGAGTTCAACTTCAAGGGACGAAAAGGGGAGATGGAATGTTGAAATTAATTAAATTCTACAATAAATTTGCGCTTAGAGTCAACTGTAAATGTAACCAGTAATGAGATCGCTGACTTTATCACGTTTTTAAATATGACGACTGTCGTCAAAAGATACGAATTTCTTTTCATATGCTTAAAATAAAAATGAATCATGGGCAAGGAAAGTAAGTATTATTAAAGTAGCATTCCTTTTTTTATTACCTTATTTATCTAATATGATAATGTTAGAAACGATAAATATGCAAACATTGATTTTACACTTTTCAGAGTAATCGTAGGTCAATTAAATTACTACTTTCATACATTAAAGGCTTATTTCAGCATCATCATCATTACAATATCACAATTTCACCATTGAATATGTATCCATGAAAATAGACTATCCCGAGACAATTACATCCATCGACTCGCAGTACATAATTTCGGGGGTTCGCTCAACTCTGCGCACTCCAATAGATACGAAGCTGCTAGTGTTCAATTCTCCGATCGGTTATCGATTTTTCGATTTATACATACGGCTAATGTCCGATTTCTCTATACAAGAAATCCGATTTTTGAAGCTTCTAGTATTATGTGGAAATTATTTTATTATTTTTAGTTTTCAAGTAGTTTTTTTTTATCAAAGTAATTTTATAATATATATAATATCGAAGTAATTTTTAATTTTTTACAGACAATATATTCGTTCAGCAACTTTGTAAGTTGTTGGACAAGTGTTTTGTGTTAAAAATAGAATTATTTCTCAGGAGCAACAATGCATTTTGCATTTTGATTCTTAATCGTGTTTAGATGTAAATGTTCATGGGCCACAGCATCCTCAAACCTTCTGATGGCCTTGTTCGTTTGTCACCCTCATTATATAAAAAATATGCATTGAACAACAGCTTATATAGGAAAACGAAGTTTTTTTTAAAATATAGAAAACCGACATAGATAAAATGCTCTTATCCTGCTACGTGACGTGACGGGCTTTATGTAACTCATTCGAAACGATTTAATGTCTAAATTTGATTATGTGCCAATTATATGGTTTTAAATTAAACACAATGGATATGAGTCTTTCTATATTCTTACACACCCGCATTTTTTGTAGTCTATTCTCACAGATAACAAGTTTATTTTAAAGGTCAGATGAAAGATTTATACGCCACCCGTAGCATACATAGTGATTTATGGTTGAGTGCTTCGAGTATAAATCAATAAAATGGTTATTGATACTAATTCAACACCCCTAGCACTCAGGGTGTTGAGAATCGGCGATCCAATTACTGGCAAGAAGGTATTTCTTCATACGCCTTTAAAAAAAAAAAAAAAAAAAATATATATATATAAAGACATTTTCTAAAAATAAATCCTAGCTAGATCGATTTATTGCTCCCGAAACTCCCTGGGCACTAAATTTTATGAAAATCGTTGGAGCCGTTTCCGAGATTCCGATTATATATAAATATAAAAATTAAATTGGGAGCAAAGGTACAGTTTTTTTTGTTTATTTATATCCCATAATATTTGAGTAGTTCTTAATGAATGTAAAAGTAATAATAATTGAGTCTGGAAAAATTGTAGTGCAGGAAACTTGTAATATATAGTTCCTTTTTAGAAGTGTCAACCCTCACAGAATCTACTATCAGACGGGTTTAGTGGCAATGATCAGTTTAATGACATTATATGGACTAAGTACTTAAGATTTGACAAAATTTTAACTACTCTTGAGGATACAAGTAATCTTTAGTTCTAATATTGAAAGTGACAACTCCATCGGCGTAGAGATTTTCGCAAGCGTTCAAAGCCGTAATTATTTTATAATACAAATTGTGATGTTAGTGCAGTTAGCCAGTTGGCATTTACATCTTCATCAGTTTGTGGACTGATGATGATGATGACTCGGCTCATGTCTGAATGTTAGTTTTCCAGTACGGTGTGCACTCATGCGAATTATTGCACAGATTGGTTACCGGAGACCCTTTTTACTGGAAACGAGGCATTCAATCTCAGTCCTCGGGGCTGGTAACGCATCTGCATTTTGCTTCTTAATGGAAGATAAATGTAGATATCTATGGGCCACAGCATCCAATTACCATCAGGTGGACTGCGTGCCCGTGTGTCTCCCTTATACTATAAAATAAAATCTAACCACCTTCCGAGCAGGTGTGAGCGGGCCATGGCTTTAACGAATTAACTTGTGTCGGTCGATGCAATTCAGCATAATTTTAGTGGATATTTTAAAGCGGCGGTAGTTCAGGGGCAAAAAATTTACAACACAGATACAGGCTTCGATCCCAGCTGGAACCAATAGAAGAGAATAGAATGATTTTTATTTAATATATATTATTACGTAATATTTATTAAAAGTTTAAAAAAATAGAAAAAAAAGAAAAGAGAAGAGTAATTTTTATTTAGCACAGATTCGGAAAATGTGTGTCGCATATAAAAGGAACAAAACAGTGCTCCTTATACATACGACATACTTATATGCAAATATTTTTTATCTCTCTCTGTCCTGGGAAGAACTAGAAGTTTTTCAAACAAACATATATCGAACCATAATAATTTTGTACAACTTTAGGTATAAACTAGCCTGGTGGCGATCATCTCATTTTCAGCGGTTATTTTCATTCATGTATTCCTTGATATGATAATAACTCTTTTTTGTACATTTTTTTTAATAAAACTTTCAAAATTGTTTATTTACGAACTTTGAACATTTTCTGGGATTCTGTTGTAAAAGCTTATAAATTGCCCCAAAAATGAATTACCAATTTAGTTGTAGTATGTAAAAATCAAATTGATAATTGTGATATTAAGTATAATTTACTAGATACGTACTCGGCGGATAAGTTATAACAATGTGAGAAAGCTAACCTAATGTCTGAGAAATAAAAATGTTTCGAGGAAATATTAAATCCTATTAATTTCTAATTTCACAATAACCCTCTCAGAAAAGAGAGGAGAGAGGTCTAGCAATAGTACCTAAACTGCTCCTTTACTTTTACTACATTTGAAACTAGCGACAACAAAATGGAAAAGACATGTTTATGGAAACGTCTAATAGAGTGTGGACTATCTAAGTAGGTTAAGGTAAGGTGCGGCTCTAGATTGCTGAGTATAAAATAAAATCCCTCAAAGACAGAATATCATAGTATAACAGTAGGTCATAATGTCTTTTTTATATTGTAAGGATGACAAACAAGCACAAGCTATAATATACAATTAAAACAATAATATATAATTTTAAAATGATCCAGAAAGAGGCTCCCACCGTTTGGGCAACCATACTTACCAGCCCCAAAAAAAAACAAATTTTTTCCCCCCCTTTTTTTAAAAAAAAATCAAATTCGCATGGTGAGTAAGACAACGTGACCCGTTTAATCGAGGATAAATGTAGATGTCTATGAGTCACAATATCTGCTTACCATCACGTGAACTGTGCGCTCGTTGCCACCTAGATATAACAAATCATATAAAAAATCGTAATCGTATATAGTAGTTACGCGTAAGGTTATGCTTGAAAATTTGAGGGCTATAGTTATTATTTTATTCATATAAAAGAAATAAAGCATCTAATCAGTTATTCGTTAAGAAAAAGGCCTGCTGTTTTTATTTTTTCTGTTTTACTATAGGTTAAAAATATTTAAACGTACATACTTAAAGAGGTAGTCGATTTTTATATAATGGAAAAAGTATTTTCGTAAATTTACTTTTCATCTCATACATGAGGCATAAGGTGAGATTGCATTTGAGATACGTTTGGCGAAATTGAGACGGGCCCGTGTTGTGAATAAACGAAAAATATTGAAATGTCAGCGTAAGGTTATAGAATTGCTCACAATGACACACATAAGAATAATAAAGCGAAAACTGCGCAAAAGAATTTCAACCTTATAACAAAGATATAAAGTGCTGCTTTTATATACAACAACATACTTATGTGTAAGTATTTTTTATACAAGGTAGCTCAGATAGGAAAAGCACATAATCGTCATGCTGGCTTGATTTGTGCCTTAAATTTCATAACATGATAGCAAATCATTTTCAATTCCAGCCGGCGCCAAAAAATTGAAAACTGAAATTTTAAGTTCAGATCGCCGTTTGACGGCGGCTTAGGAGAATTCACTACACCAGATCATCATGAGGGTATGAAACAATACAGAGGCAACAGCATCTTTCCGATATTAACCCAATATAATAAAAAACTATGGTTGACCCGACTGTCAAGCGGCTATGGTAAATATTCCAAATATGAGATAATCTGTGGGGTGTGTTTAGTTGTGGAATTCGATCTGTAATGAGTGAATGAAAGGCGCCCTAAAATCATTAAAATTAGTTTCGATCTATTGCGAAGTATTCGCTTGAATATAACTAACAGGATAAAGAAATAATCAGATGATGAAATAAGTTATAAATTAATCAAAATAAATATACAATTAATTTGAAACAAGAATAATACAATACAATAAAAATGGTGTGTAAAAAAAAAAAAATACGGTAAAAAATAACGGCGGGAAGGAGGAGGCCCATACAATAAAAAACACCATACTATAAAAAAAAAAAAAGGAATTGTCCGGATTAATCCCAGCCGCCAAATTTCATGAACGCACTACGCAGCAAACGTCCCGATACCATACACACCATCTCGATGCTTGTCGATCCACCACTGTACGTTTCATTAGGAGTTTTCTTCCACGTACGAACTCTCTGTGGAATAATTTACCACTGGCAATTTTTTCGGACCGATACGACCTAGGGATCTTCAAGAAAAAACTTACTCCTTTCTAAAGGCCCGACAACGCACCTGCAATTCCCCTGGTGTTGCGGTTGTTCATGGAATGTGGTAGTCACTTAATATCAGGTGAACCGTATGCTCGTTCGCCCCCTCTTCTATAAAAAAGCGCGGGGCATGTGTGTGTGACCACTGGCCGGTCGACGTGTACGCGGCGAGACTGGAAATACCGGTTACGCTGGCACAGCCAGTGGACAATTCTCAGGGTCAGTGCGACGCACGTTGTTGGTTTTGCTAGTTGCAATTTTGAATATTATAAAGTAGAAGCGTGATATTATTAATAACATTTATTTATTGTACTGTGTGTATGAACAATACTAGAAAAAATAATGATATATCATACTTTAACTATCTCAAGGAGTACACTAGGTTAAGAGATCTGAACAACCTATAACTAATATGGGCAAGGATTCTATACTCAGCCATTACAAGGATACTAGTGATGGTAAGGGTAACATACAATTGGGTTTTTTGTATTTGGTTTATGTATTGGGTTTATGTATGCCATCAGTGCACGATTTAAACTTACCCACACTTTGCATAAAACTAAATTTACGGATTCTATCGTGTTTAATTAATTACTTTTACATATTTTTAATTCCCGACGTTTCGGGTGCTTTACAGCACCCATGGTCACGGGGGACTAAGATGTTTCACGTCCCAACGTCATTGTTAGCCCGGCTACTAATCTAATCTATTGAAATTAAAAAACATCCTAATTTCAATAGAGAAGTTGGTTGGGTGCTGCCATCTGCTTCGGATCCTATAATTAACACAATTAAACCCAAACCCAGGCATACCACTGCAAGACTTCAAGATACTGTAAGCTCGTTTTGCGTAAATCGGACCAAAAATTAATATTCAAAAACTGAAGGTAGCCGGGCTAACAATGCCATTGGGACGTCAAACATCTTAGTCTCCCCCGTGACCATTGGTGCTGTAAAGCGCCCGAAACGTCGGGTATTAAAAATATGTAAAAGTAATTAATTAAACGCGATAGAATCCATAAATTTAGTTTTATTCAATGTGTAGTGTTCGCGTAAATTTAAGAAATTATTACCCACACTTTTTAGGTTTTATAAATACGTTTTTAATATTAATTTTCTTTTACTTTTTCAATATTAATATCTTTCATAGGTTTCTTTTTACCAATAACATCTAAAACAGTATTATTGCTTGGTGAAAAACATTAATACGATAACAGATTTCCTAATTATACAGTTAAATAAAATACTTAAGTTCTAACTAAAGAAAAAAGTGCCGTACTGAGTAGCAACGAGAGTAAAGTGTTGACTTTAACTGTAAATACCTACTACATAAGGTTAAGGCTCGTGCTTTGTGTGGATCGCCCATCCCCCACCACTAGACGGAGTGACTTGGTAAGATATACAGAAAGTCGATGGATGCAGGTGGCTCAGGATCATGCTTGGTAGCATTCCTTGAGGGAGGTCTATTTTCAGCAGTGGACTTGTGATGGGCTGTAATGATGATGTTGGTGATATGCTTGAATTGTATACTTTTATGGTTGGTGTTTTCAATTTTTTCTATCGAAATAATTACTATCGTCATTATCATAACCATCCATAGAAGTATCATATCCACCAAGGAATGCTACAAAATAATAACTCGAAATAGCCGATCAGAAATATTTTTATTAGCACGATTTAGGTAACTCGTTATCGTGCGTGGTCGAGTCGCATTTAGTAATAGATTTTAAACTAACTTTTCGATGAGCTAAAAGACTTTTTTTTAAATTTGTTATTGCTTTTATATTATAAGGACTTAACCCATATATGCCTAGGGGTCGATAATGATCTAAAAGTACTTAATTATTTCCGATGCACACTGACCGCTTACTTTTGTTTTAATTATTATTATAGTGTCATCTTTCGATAGACAAAAGAAAACAATTGTGAAGTACAGCTCAATATAATTTTTACTTTGCAATCAGTTCAAATGACAAGTATTAGTGAAAGTTCGTACAAGTTAATTTCTGGAAAAAGTTTGCAACTGATTGCATAAAAATGTAAGTGTTTTGTGTACGTTGTGTTGATTTACTATCAAATTTGTTTGTATAGTAAACTAAATATGTTTTTGGAGACAAATATATAAATTTTACTTATAAAATATATTTTTCTAATTGCAATCACGAACACATACCATGCTTTATATTAATAGTGATGCAACGGAAGTGTCATATAACAATATTTTTTTGCAGAAACGGAAATAGAAACGGATGCGGAAACGAAAAAACTACTTATTAAAAATTACAAATAAAACTTTTAATAAATCTATAAAATTGAGTAGCGGTGTGTTATATTTTATGAAAAGTAGTTTGGTCGCTTTTACACCTAACAATCTGTTCCAGTGTTCTTCATATATAAATCCAGCTCCGCTAAATAATTGCTCACTGGCGTGGGTGCAGTCACGTGTGACTGCATGGGTTTTTTATGGGGATTGAAGGGTTAAAAATAATTAATATAAACTTCACTTAAATAATAATTAATATAAACCTCATGTAAACATAACCTAATTAATTTTACAATTCTAAGTTGCAACAAAGGCATTTAGTAATACTAGGTTTAACTGGAGAAAACACGTTTTAACTAAAAACGGGTTTTAACTATTACATTTTATAAATAAATAGGTATGCAATTACTTGACTGACCACATGTTATTTAGTTAGCAGTGAAAATTTTACAGTTTCAAGTACCTAACTTCTCAAACTCTGCAAACTCTTCGGCGTGTATCGCTTTAAGATGGCTCTTTAAAGCGGCAGTTTTGCGGGTACCTATATTTTGTCACATAATTTACATTTGGCTGCTAAATCATCAACCTCAACACAAAATGTGGTTCCACATTCCATATCACACACACGGGACTTTCTTTTGGCTTCATGATTGCACCTAAGTTACACACACGACTCAAATTACTAATTAACTAAAAACACAATAACAGACAATCTTACACACTAACACTCGTGTCATGCCGTATAATAAAGTTATAAAAGGTATGTAAACAAACACGTTGGGCCAAGTGCCCAGCTCGCTTGTGGTTGGCTGAATTGACCCTCCTCGCTCTTATGCGTGCTCAACGAACCTCGTACGCTGCGTCACATTAGATAAACATAATTGTATCGTAATATGAGTTTCGTTCAAACTTCCGTTATAAAACTTGCGGAAACAGAAACAGAAACGGATGTAAAAAACCATACAGAACTTCCGCAGTTGCGGAAAAAGAAACAGAGTTCTGTTGCATCACTACTTTATAATCATATTTTCCTTTTTGAGTTCCCTCCACGTGCTCTCTACAAACTCAGTAACCAAAGCACTAAACTCATTTGACTACGAGAAAGATGTCCGGGACATCGATTGTATACATTGAAGACGACTGTGACAATATAAACCGCTTGAAATGACATCAGTTGCTTGCTCCAGCTGAGATGGTAGTACTATAAGGCGAAGAAGGCAATGATGATGACACTACCATGATGATGAGTTTTTAGTCTGCTCTACTGGTAGTTGTCAAATATTTGACCCCATTTCTACGGTATGCAGATTTATTGCTCAAATGGATCACACGTAAGTCACAAAGTCATCGTCCTGTTATACTGTCAACTCCAGGAGTTGTTTTTAATAACCCATGGATTACTGAGTACTTTTCAAGATAAAAATGTAAAAATAACTGAAATTACTCGTCAAAACAGAGTGGAAAAATGTCAACTAATGTAGGTAAAGTCTTGTAAATTGTAGCCCACAGGATTTTATGTTTACAGGTTAGATACAAATGATAATATTTGCTAGTTTTTTTACATTGTTGTCAAATGAATTAAGAGTACTGCCCTGCCCTGTTCAAAGGGCACGCCGATATTTATTTGCTGTTAAACAGAAAATTGACATTAATCAGCCGACCGATTTGTTGGTGGTATAGATTGGACACTAATATCGGAGTTTACAGGATTGCGATAAGAAGCAAAAATGGTATATTCCCATTTTGATTTGATTAGTTGACGTCGCCGTCAACAACAAACACGCTGAAATTTCGCCGATCTATTGCAAGGTCTTTACTCCAGAAATATGAGAGTACCAGAATTCAACCTGGACCACAAAATAAGACAAAGACTCATATTATTCTCACAAGTCAGGTTAGAAGAATATGTGCGCTGTGTAACGATAAAATAGTGAAAATCTGCAGGAACGGCAATTTATATGACAATTGCTTTGCAAAATTTTATTATCTAATAGTTCCTATCTTACTTGTCTAAGCTAAATAAACACTGATTAGCATAAAAATACTATTTTATTCTGATTATTTTAACCCCATACTAGTTTACGACCTTATCTGGACAAAGGGTCATTTTCAACCAACTGACAAACTGAACTGAAAACTATAAACTACTATCAGGGCCCTTGTCTGTGCATATCAATATTACAACATGTGTAAAAATTAAATAAAATCACTTATATGGATTTTATCGCGATTAATTAACTTATTTTTAATTCCCGACGTTTCGGGCGCTTTACAGCACCTTTGATCATGGGGGAAATGAGATGTTTGACGTCTTAATGTCATAGTTAGCCTGGATAACTTCAGTTTTCGAATATTAATTTTTGGTCCGATTTACGCTGTATATTAAGAAATCCTTATATGTAAAAAATTACAAAAATATAAAATTAGGTTATTTTTTTGTCATCAGTGATGGGGCGAGGCGTAAGTGTACGCCGCACAGTAGCGGCTAAGCGGGCGAGCGCAGAGGCGGGCGCGCAAGCGGTCGCGCGGGCGGGCGCGGACGCGTAGCTCGGCGCGGTGGCGGGTGCGCGCGCGGCGGCGGCGGCGGCGGCGGCGCATGCACGCCACCGGCCACACGGACCGCTCGGGCGGCGGCGGCGGCGGCGGAGGCTCCTGGCGCCTCCCACCCGACGAAACGCTGCAGGTCGCCGACCCCAAGTCCGCCAAAGAGGAGGTTCGGACTACCACTCTGTGTAATAAATTATTCATTAATGAGAGCTAGAGAGTTGAAACTGAGGTGAAGGTTTTTGTTGTATAAAAGTTAAAGTTACAGGCTATATACGTCCCACTGCTGGGCACAGGCCTCCCCTCACTTATGAGAGGGTTTTAGGGCAAGGAAGTGTCCACCGCGCTACCCCAATGCGTGTTGGTGAACTTCACATATCTTCGAAATATTTTTTTTCTCTTATTCCTCAGACATGCAGGTTTCCTCACGATGTTTTCCTTCATCGCCGAGCACGTGGTAAATCAGCACTTAAAATTGCAATTAACAATTTCATTGGTGCCGGCGGGGATCGAACCCGGGTTACTCGCGTTCTGTTATATTTACAGCGAGCGTTAACCATCTGAGCTACCACGGCTCTCATAATTCTTTGTTGCATATTGCCATTTAATTGAGAAGTTAGTTCTGAATAAAATTTTGTCAGTCTGTTTCTATAGTATTATATTAATACACAAAACAATGCCTTAAAGATTTGTTCTTTAATTTCTTGTAAATTTGAACTCTTTTTTTACCTTTTCTACTTTTATGAATGTCTGTAATTTGGTATATTTATTTTTAATATAATTTACATAAAATACTACTAATTACAGAAAGAAACTAACTAGCCTTTACATTATTTGAACAAATTAACTTCCCCGCTATGAAATCTGTCAAATATTACACCTCATGAATAGCTTTATTATAGTATATCAGTCATATAAAAATAGCAGCTGATTCTGCTGTTCCGTATAGTGACTTCAGAGAAACAGAGACTCTCTTTACTGGATACGAGACATTCAGACAGGGGTGACAACGCATTTTGATTTTTATCGAGAGTAAATTTAGATGTCTATGGACCACAGCATCCACGTACCATCAGGTGGACTGTGTATTGTATAAAAGAAATACATAATCCTCAGCTAAACGTAAACCTCACTAAAGATTGCGTCATATGATTTTTACACCATCACCATCAAATTCTTTTCTGAATTACGTCATTGTAATACAGTTTGCTAAATTTAACAAAATTTTTACAGGACCTCTACCCAGGAGACAGCCACAATTGGAGGAGCATCGTCTTTTCGTTGATGGTCATCAGTTTTGTAATAGCCGGAATAGTCACTGCTATTTATCTGTTAGGGTAAGTAACATCATTTATTTATTATTTATAATTACAAATAATTACAAGGATTTGTCGTAATCGCTAAAGACCGATTTACACTTCGACAAGTACAGTAGAGAGTTTAGTTACAAGGCAGTTGACAGTGAACGGTTAAGTGGGCAGTAGCGTTCAAACAATGTCTTCGTGGCGAGTTTAGTTAAGGACATTAGTTCATAGAGTTTGTTAGAGTATGATGTTTCAAGACTACAGAATTTTTCTGGTTTTCGTTTAAGATGGTTCTAGTATAACGCCAAGACTTAAATGATCCAGTCAGAGAAGTATTAATGGTTGTTGTTAAAGAAGTTTTTAATAATTTTCATGGGTGCAGCATCTCGAGCAGGTTTAATTATACAATTTGAACTTCTACTATTATATAAACATTCGTATTCTAGATACTCCTGTACAAATTTATACGTAATATCTTCCGTCCATTTTAATTAAAACTCAATATAAAACGTATAAATATTCAATAATCAGTCTCGTACAAACTTTGTGGCGAGTTTATTTATAAAAGTGCAATTGTACGTTTTGGCGCACAAACATTGCGTCCTGTCAACTTATGCACTGAACTAAACTCGCTCGTTTACACGAACGGCGAGTTTAGTTGCGGATGGCGAAAAATAGCTCGGCCGCCTATCCCGTTCAACTTAATCGTTAACTTGCTACTTAACTCGCTTATGGCCGTTCAAACGAGGTTCAAACTTAACTCGCCAGGTTCGCAAGTTAACTAGCTACTGTACTTGTCGAAGTGTAAATCGGTCTTAAGACTAGTAGGCGGATAGGCGACTACAGTAACAAAAGTCTCGCACCTTTGACTTTGTCTACTCATGCGCCTTTGACGGTTGTAGTTCGGTTTGCGTATTTTATATCTGCTATGCAATCTGTACAAATCAATAAAATTTAAGTGTCTGTTTGAAATGTCAAAATCACAACTTTTTACTAAAACATATAAAAGTATATTTATACTGTTCTTATATAAAAAACAATATTTAAAAGTTGTGTCCGTCTTTTTGTTCCGGCTAATATCCGCAGTGGCTGGACCACAGTCTATAAGTCCATACAGTCGTCCGACGAAGACGTCTAGACGGGGCAATCGTGCGGTGTGTGCGGGGCCCCGATCTGCTTATGCCAATCGTATTAGTAAGTAGCTCGGGACACGACTTCCAGGGTTAACGCGCGCTTGCTTTTATAATTTTTAAATTTAGTGTTGATAATTATAATTAAAATGGTTCATACGACCTGTGCTGTGAGAGATTGCAAGTCGTCATCTCGCATAAATAAAGATCTGCGATTTCACCAAATTCCGCACAACGAAGAAAGGTAAATAAATATTGTTATTATTTTTTACATTATGTATATTTTGTCATGTCATGCCAAATAGAAAACGTAAAAGAAATGGCGGACGTAAAAAATAAGTACTATATAGTCGCTGGGCATTACTGATTTTTCTTCATCTAAATCGTGTGGTTGGACAGGCTAAGGTTTTAGCCCATACTATAGTGCCTCGTCTTCGGTCTTTCGAAGTTTTTTTTTATAAAATATTAAGATTTAGGGGTAAATTTTTAAGTTTGTCGGTGTGCTAATTACAAAAATAGCATTTATTTTTAAATCCAAGATGGCGGTCATTTTTTTATATATGTAGGATATGGATGTCAATTTCAAGGTTTATTGGGGTGATGCTTACGAAAACGCCATTCATTTTTATATCCAATATGGCGGACATTTTTTGAATAATATGATATGGGTATCAATTTCGGGGTTTCTAGGGGTGCTTATTATGAAACCGGCATCCATTTTCATATCCAAGATGGCGGATTTTTTTTAATAATATGATATGGGTATCAATTTCGGGGTTTCCTGGGGTGCTTATTACGAAACCGGCATCCATTTTCATATCCAGGATGGCGGACATTTTTTTTAATAATATGATATGGGTATCAATTTTGGGGTTTCTTGGGGTGCTTATTACGAAACTGGCATCCATTTTCGTATCCAAGATGGCGGACATTTTTAATAATATGATATGGGTATCAATTTCGTGGTTTCTTGGGGTGCTTATTACGAAACTGGCATCCATTTTCATATCCAAGATGGCGGATTTTTTTTTAATAATATGATATGGGTATCAATTTCGGGGTTTCCTGGGGTGCTTATTACGTAACCGGCATCCATTTTCATATCCAAGATGGCGGACATTTTTTTTTAATAATATGATATGGGTATCAATTTCGGGGTTTCTTGGGGTGCTTATTATGAAACTGGCATCCATTTCAATAGCAAAAATCAATAAGGACCCTCCTTAGAATATATGGAATCTTATTTAATACTATATATCTCAATTTATCACTTACGTTTCTATTAAGCGAGAAGACTCACAGACGCATAGACAAACTGACGGCAGTCGATATATTTTTTCAATTACATTTTTTGTTGTGTAATCTAAAGTGAATCAGTTAAAAAATAAACCAATAATTCAATGTCTGTAGTCATTGTGTGTGTATATATATATATATATATATATATATATATATATATATATATATATATATGGATGTGATGTCTAGGTAAGAGTATAAGAACGGTTTTATGTAGCGAAACTGAGGTATGGCCACATATCGAGAGTAGAGCACTCCCTCACGTTGTGAGGCGTGCAATTAGCGTTTTGAGTACTTTCAGGAAAAATGTAAGAACAAATTATTACTTATTCTTTATATTAGTAATCATATTGTTGATCACGATGTAGATCTAAAATAAATAATGAAATTAGTAAAAGTTGTTAATTTGTGACAACCCTAACCTCCATACGCTGTCTAGACGTTGTCGGCATTTACCACGAGATCAAAGGCGTCGTCCTACTGTATGTTTTTATTATACTGTGGGCTGGACCATAGAATTAGGATAGTAATATATTATAAGTTTTGACTGCCTCCTTGGTCTAGTGGTTGTAGTAATGCGACTGCTGATCATGAGGTCCTGGGTTCGAATCCCGGGTCGGGCCAAAAAATAATTATTGGGTTTTTCCGTTAAGAAATTCTCAGTAGTTGCCTGGAGTCAGGAAGTTGTGGTGTCTCACCCCCGTGCCTCGAAAAGCACGTAAAGCCGCTGGTCCTGCGCCTGATCTCTCTCTGGTCGTGTCGGTTTACCGTCCCATCGGATTATGAGAGTGAGGGAGTAGAGAGTGCACCTATGCTTGCGCCAATAGCTAGCCTCCGTTGAGGCAGGCCGCCGTGGCCGAAGTTCGGTCTGGAGGACATTATTATTATATCCTCTCGTAAGTCGGGGTCATTTTGGCCAATATGGCGCATCTGTCGAGCACTTCCCGAAGTACTTCCAGACTACTTCCTGCTGTTCATTAAAAATACTATTTCCAAGACATTTTGTATAAAAGGTATATTAAAATCATATGGCAATGAAAATTTTATTAAATAAGTTATCAGATTATGTATAACTTGAATACAGGTTTACTTAGAAAGCGATACTAATTTGAGAATGAAAGTAAGAAAAGTGTTTTTCCCCAATTTTCTGCAAAGGCTATTTGTTTTACTTGTACGTCCAAAGCATAATTAGGTATAAAAAATAAAAATTAAAATTTTCATAAATTTTTTGTTTACGACAAGGTCGAGAAAGGCCTCACTTAGCTCTTCTCGACATCGGGACAAAAAAGGAGGTTATATATATCATATAAATGTTACAAATAGTTTGCTATCACTCGACGCCATATTATGACGTTTGGACAGACGAAGGGATAATATTATATCTATAGGCTGGACTGAGTTTGACGGGACTTTCACTAGCAGATAGACGATGTTATTGACGAGGAGTAACTTAGGCTACTGTTATATTAGAAAAACAATTAGGGTTCCGCGCACAAAAATTGAAACCCATGAATTGCTATCGTAAATATTACCACGCGGACGATGTCGCGAGTAAAAGCTGGTATGTAAATAAAACGTCTGATCCGAGAGAATGCTTTTATTTCACGTAATCCTCTACAGAAAATAAATAAAAACTACCCCCCGAAAAAATTTAAAAGAAAGTAATTAAACGGGAAAACCTAAATGGCAGTTCAGCGATACGGGCTCATACCGTCGCAACCGACGGTGTTGCCAGATTTTAAAAAATTGCTGATAATTAAGCAAAATGTAGTAAAACGTGAACTTTAAATGACAGTTACATTTTATATTCATTCTCAATATATTGTGGTACACCTTTCGTATTTGAGATCATAAGTTTATAAAATATACAATAAACTGAGCTAGCAAGCTTGGCTTTTTGTGTATCTGTGTTGTTTACAAATTAGAAAGCAATGTGTAGAAATGATTTTTCTGGAATACTTTTTTGATGCAAAGGCACAAAAGTAAAAACACACTTTTCGTCACATAATTTTTTTGGAAACTATCTTTATTTCTAACAAGTCTCCAATTATAATTATATTAAATTAAGGTACGTGGACGAGCTGCTGTACTGGTCCGGTCGTCGAATGCGTTTGGACGAGTTCTTGCGCGGCGACTTAACGGGCGAAAGACTACCGACCACGTGGGTGAGCTCATACCAAATCGTCTATCAGGCCGACGACGGAAGTCTACTGGCATTGAACACTTTCAACAACACGCTCACTGTCCTCGTCACCAACCATACGCTAGTAAGTGGCATTTACTAACAAAGAATGTACTTTAATACCTATCTTGATTTATAATTAATGCCTTATCTAAATATATATAAATTACGTGTCACGTTGTTTGCCCGCGATAGACTCCTAACCTACTAAACCGATTTTAATCAAATTTGCACACCGTGTGCAGTTTGGTCCAACTTGAGAGATAGGATAGTTTTTTTGCCCATGAGTAACTCACAATTTTTTTTGCGAATTTAAGGATTTTAATAGGACATGACAAAGGGTCATCGAAAAATGGCAGAACAACGTCTGCCTGACAAGCTAGTACTAATTAATTCAAAATATGGTATTAATACCGTGTAGTGGCCGTGTAAGAAAATCCAATTTTGTACGTGGTAGAGCCATGCTGCAGTTATATTAGTAGTATAGTTGTAGCACGAATGGGTCGGCTCGACCGGGGAAGGACCACGCTCTCACAGAATACCATCGTGAAATGGTAGCTTGATGCTGCTGTGTTTCGTATGGTGAGTGTAGAGAACCGGAGACCCTTTTTACTGGAAATGAGGCATTTCATCTTAGTCCTCACAGGTGACAACGCATCTGCATTTTGATTCGTAATCGAAGATAAATGTAGATGTCAATGGGCCACAGCAACCACTTACCATCAGGTGGACTGTGTGCTCGTTTGTCACCCAATCCTATAAAAAAAATCCACCACCCGATATTATCCCGTGGGTGTCGTAAGAGGCGACAGAGGATAACAAATCAGGAGATGGGCAGCAGAATTTTCCTGATAACAACTCTAAATAATAAAAATCTGCAAGGTGGAAAATATGTAAAAATTTCCATAGTTTCTAAGCTTAGTATGCAGAATGGCAAATGTGAACTGAAATATTACGTATATAAACGACTCATATTATGTTTTTCCGCAGAGACAACTCAATGTACGCGGTTATCAATGCTCTCCAAACCTACGATATGTTCTCTTCCAACACAATATCAAAGAGGTATTTGTTTTACAATTATTTTGATAATAATTTTGATCGCATACATTGATTAAAACTACTTTTACGGATTTTATCGCGTTCAATTTTAAGTATTTTTAATTCCCAACGTTTCGAGTGCTTTCCAGCACCCATGGTCACGGGGGACTGAGATGACTGACGTCCCGATATCGTTGTTAAACCCGGAGTACCATCAGCTTTTTTAATTATTGCTTATGGTCCGATCTATGCTCGTTATTATAAAAAAAATCTTTGATCGTATATTATAAAATAAATAAATATTGATCGTATATTATAAAATAATCGATGTTTAGTAACTAAAAATTTATGCTATTTTATTATTAATATCACGTTTTTGATAACTCGCTTCCTTAATTTTCTGTTTGTCTGTTCAACCCAAATATCGCAATCGATTGTATGCTAACTTCCTGATGAGTTTGAAACTTGAAACTTTGAAAGAGAGAAACTTTAAACATAACTCATAACTGGAAAACGTGGTAAAAATGGTCGCCAATTTGAATTTTTTTCAGGTATACAGGCGGACTTTTACAGCATACTATACAGTTTATGACGTCACAAATGAGTAAGTTCCATAATTTATGTATATAGTTTTTTCCTTCATTAACAACAAAATCTTTTATAGCCAACCAGTGATAGAGTGTTTATGTCGATGGAATATAGTTAAAGTTAAAAATTTACAGCATATATACGTCCCAATGCTGGGCTTTCATTACTGAGTGAGTTTTACGGCAAGGGAGTGTCTTTGAAATATATTTTTCTTATTTCTCAGATAATATGCAGGTTTCCTCACGATGTCTTCCTTCACCGCGAAGCACGTGGTAAATCAGCACTTAAAATGGCAATTAAAAATTTCATTGGTGCCGGCGGGGATCGAATGCGTGTTGTTCCCGTACTGTGAAATTTACAGCGAGCGCTAACTATCTGAACTATCACGGCTCATGATATAGTACTTACTTTAAATTAAAAAATAACGTACCGATTTATATATAGTCCCAGCGTTATAATTAAAAAGGAAATTCGCAATTCGTAAGTGCTTTAAAGAATTTTGCTGTATTGTTTACTATACTCATAAAATTGCTATGAAGCCAATATCTCCTTGCAATCAACCTGATTCCTTATACTGAAGTTGATCATTAATTGGGCTTAGATGAACAGAGCGAATGAGTGACTTAGTGTTGAAAGAATCCGTATATTATATCTAGCACACCACGCCATAACATTTAACGTTGCACTAACAAATCTTTGCGGTAGAAACCTTTAGAAAGATCAAAACATATTTATTTATCCTGGTCCCGTAAACAAGGTTCAGTAATAGGCCGTTTGTAATATTTTTGGCGTGATTGTCTTAGTTAGGACCCTTACTTACGTTGTGTTAGTTCTAATAAATAGATTGACTTGGCAACCGCACTTAACAATCTAATTTAATATAATATGTATTACTTGTGAGACTCAATGTGTTTTCATGCGATGGCCAAGTCAATCTATTTATTTAAAAAACATAAAAGATTTTTAATATTGATATGGTAACAGTAAGATTTTGTTAGGTTAGCTGATTGATTACGTAATAACTTAAAAGAGAAGAAACCTTAAGTAGGGACTGAATAAATTAACCGACTTGGTATTACATGGATCTCACAACTTTTTACAGTAGAAGAACTGAGTTGCGAGACTTGGTTTCTTTTACAAGTTATGTTTTAGATGGCATATAAAATACCAGCAGGTATTTTATATAATAGTTACCCGTATTACCCTATTACGTTTAATTTTTTTGTCTATTTTTACCGTCACGCAAGTAAATGAGTGTTGCAGCTCGTAAAATAGCATCTATAGATGCGTTGCTACCACTGAGAACAAAGATGGAATAGCTAAAAGCCTGTTATTAGGTTATACCCAACTTTCAAACTAGAATACAGCATTAGATGCACTGCCGTTTTGGCGTAGAAATAGCTCCTCAACTATACTCCTAGGCAGAGTACTTTCACCTTAAAAAAAAGAAGTTACTAATTTAGTTACTATAAGTCATAACATTACAACAAAGCTCTTGAATTTGACAAAAAAATTACAACAAACGAATATGTTTTATTATTTAAACAGCCACCACATTCCGCTGTTCGGTGAGGGACAAAGCAGCTGGGAGTGGCAACACGCAGCTTGGTTGGGGTCCAACGGTGCATTGTTACTGGCAGCGGATAATGAGGTGTTGGCACGACCTGGCCCGCCAGCGCGTCGTGCGCCTATCTGGCGACTCACAAATGATGCTCGTGCCGGGAGCGTATACAACGGTGTCTCTGACTGGCTTTACCAAGGTATCAATTTTAAATGTTTTTATTAGTAATATAACGTAGTATTTAGACTTATGATAAACATTAATTCCTTAATTTTCAAGCCTAGTTTTGAGTTTCAGAATTCTCAAACCTTACCAAAAATTTGGAAGTTTTGATAATTTCGCAAATAATTATGACAAATCAGAGGTCCAAAGGCCTACTACGTGTTGCAAATAATGGTTTATGGATCTAAGACGTGTTCCTTCACTGCTGAACAGTATAGAGAGGGCTATGCTCGGGGTTTCTCTACATGATACACTTAGAAATGAGGATATCCGCAGTAGAACCGATATAGCCCAACGGATTAGTAAGCTGAAGTGGCAATGGACCGGCCGTATAGCGCGAAGAACCGAAAACCGATTGGGAAAAAAGTTTCTCAAATGGCAGCCTCGTACTTGTAGGCGAAGTGTGGGGCGGCCCACACTAGATGGAGTGACGATCTGGTAAGGCATGCAGGAAGTCGATGGATGCAGGTGACTCAGGACTGTGCTTTTTGGCATTCTTTGGGGGAGGCCGCCTATGTTTAGCAGCAGACTTGTGAAGGGCTGTAATGATGATGATGATAGGCGCAAAGAAAGGTTATTTAGCGAGTCAAATGGAATTGATACTCCTAGTCATTCTTTTGTGTTCTTGATATTAATCTAATAACAGAATTAAGATGAAATTAATACGATATTTCTATCCTATTTTTAATATTATTCCTTTTTTCCCATTTTAAGGTTCTGTAGTTAAACAACAAGGAGCCCTTATAGTTTCATTATGTCCGTCTGTCCGTCCATCTGTCCGCGGTATTACTCCAGTGACCATCGTTGCTACAAATATGTAATTTGGCATTGTTATAGATATTAGTAACGCCTACAAAAATGTGAAATAAAATGGTAAAAAAACATTATTACTTTGGAAACCTCCCATGCAGGTAAAGGGGGGATTAAATTTTTTTGCCCGTCTACCGTCCGTAGGATATCGTTGGATAGGTCTTTTAAAATCATTGGGGCTGTGGAGCGACATATTTTTGATTCAGGGGTCCGTTTAAGAAATATTTTCCTTTAAACTTGTATTTATCATTAGAGTCATGTGTCTCCCCCCTCCTTCAATGAACAAAACCGCTGTTTTTTGGAAATATGAAAAGTATACACAATAGTAGTATATATAATGATGTTAAATGAAAACTATCAGTAGAGCTTATTAGAATTAACAAGTTAACAAGTAATAGTCGACTAAATTAAAATGCACTTGGATTTGTAAAATTTCACCAACTTGGATTAACAAAAATTTATAACTCTATAGAAAATTACTTAAGACTAGATGCATTATAACTTTGTAATTTAAATTGTAATTTGTACGAAATAAACATTTTGCATTTGTACACTTATATGCATTACTATTATAGCTTTACTGTTTACTTTGCGAGTTAGGCAGGGACAGGGAGGACTTTTAATTTAGTGAAGTAGTGGTTTACGTGAAGGTTCGTTACGGTCATATATATCTTAGGGTTGCACTGCATAAAGATAGATGGTCGGTCAACTATGACCGTCTTTATACGGACTTCTATCTTTATACGGCATGGGAATGATTTGATGTAGATTGTGTTATTTTCAACATAGAAAAGCTTTTTAAAATCTTTTTTGAATACCAATCCCTCTAAGTCTGATTGGGAAATAAGTCCTTCAGTTACCATCGTCCTATTTGGGTCCATTTTTAGTCGCTATAGCGGTCAAACCGCCAATCCAATACGGCAACTACAGAACCCTACCTCTACATTGTGCGTGACCCGACACGAACTTGGCCAGTTTTTATTTATTGATGTATTATCTGACTGTTTTGCTTTATAAGTACGTACAGAAATTAACTTAAATTTTTTTAGTAAAATAATTATGTATATGATATGATAATATAATTGTTTAAATGACATCTTTGCCAACAGAGGAGGTGACAAAAGCAGCATCGGCGATGTGGGGATCTTCAGATGGTACTCTGGTTATGTATGTTCAATATAATGATACCATGGTGCCTGAACTACAGTTTCCCAGAATATCGGAAGGAATCGGTGGAGCCGGTGCTACAAGATCTGGTTTTTTGTTGCCTGCGAATAATAATAGCGCTCACGCTGTCTTTCCTGATCATATAACTGTTAGATATCCCACGGTAAGATGAATGACATCCTTTTATTTTATGCGTTAAATCGTCGAATACAGATTTTCTAACTAAAATAAATTGCCCGTTTTAGCCTGGTAGCTCAATCCCAAAAGTTAAGCTATGGATAGTTGGAGTACAGAACACAACATCTCCTCCGAGATGGGAAGTAAAACCGCCGAGTACTTTAGATGGAATGTAAGGTTTATATTTAACGTGATAATATTTATGCCCTAAGAATAGTGCAAATATATTTTACATAATTTTTCTTCTTAGGGAATATTATCTCATATCCGCACAATGGGTGGGTAAGGACAATTCACACGTGGGAGTGGTTTGGATGAGCCGAGCCCAAAATCTAACAGTTTATAGCAGCTGTTATGCACCTAATTGGACATGTACAGAGGTGAGAGTTTTACGTAATAATTGGTATGTTATAAGTCTTTAACCTAAATGGAATCATAGCAGATTTTTGTTGTTTCTAGACCCATTCAGAGAAAGCTACTGATGAACCATGGCTAGAAGTTCATCAAAAACCTGTCTACTCCGAAGACGGTAGTGCCTTTTTACTTTTAGCGGCTGTACAAGAAGGCGGGGGCCAGTATTACACGCATATCAAACATGTTGACGTTCTGCGTCAACGTATAGCGGTACTATCACATGGCAAGGTAGAAGTTGCCGAAATTCTAGCGTGGGACCAGATAAACAACTTGGTTTATTATTTAGGTATGTGTTTTAAATCTTTTGTGACGTATATCAATTTAATAAATAAAAAAATCTTAAAAAGTAAAGTTAAGATATCCTTATATTTTATTTTATTTTTTAAAGGTTTAAACAAAGAAAAGTTATACATACCTAAACTGCGACCTGAAATGATCAAAGGGGCAGAACAAATTAAGTATTTGAAGTGGTTGCGCTCGCCTGTTTCGTTTTATCGAATCATGAATTTGAGTTGACTACTAATCCCACAAATCATTTAGCTACATCGCATAATACAACATATCGTTTTTATTACCTAGTATAGCCATAAGTTGTGTCAAACATTAAATTCATATCATAAAGAAACAGAATGTAATAATAACAAAACTTATGAGTACATGTAGATAGTCATGAATCTGTGAATTTACGCACTGTCGAAATGTGTGCGTACGTGCGTGCGTGCGTGCGTGTGTGTGTGCGAGCGTGCATGGTGCGTGCGTGCGTGCGTGCGTGCGAGCGTGACGTGCGGGCGCGTGCATGAGTGCGTGCGTGCGTGCGTGCGTGCGTGCGTGCGTGCGTACGTGCGGGCGTACGTGCGTGCGTGCGTGCGTGCGTGGATGCATGTGTGATGTGCGTGCGTGCGTGCGTGCGGGCGTGCGTGCATTAGTGCATGCGTGTGTAATGCATGCGTGCGTGCGTGCGTGCGTACGTGCGTGCGTGGGTGCGTGTGCGTTTGCGCGTGCGCGTGAGTCGCGTGCGTGCGCGTGCGGTAGCAATTTGCGTGTGCGTGTGCGTGTGCGTGTGCGCGTGCGTGTGCGTATGCGTGCGTGCGTGCGTGCGCGTGCGGTTGCGCGTGCGCGTGCGTCGTGTACATGTGCGTGCGGTTGCGATTGCGTGTGCGTGTGCGTGTGCGTGTGTGTCTGTGCGTGTGTGTCTGTGCGTGTGTGTCTGTGCGTGTGTGTCTGTGCGTGTGTGTCTGTGCGTGTGTGTCTGTGCGTGTGTGTCTGTGCGTGTGTGTCCGTGCGTGTGTGTCTGTGCGTGTGTGTCCGTCCGTGCGTGTTTGCCCGTGCGTGAGTGTCCGTGCGTGTGTGTCAGTGCGTGTGTGTCCGTGCGTGTGTGTCCGTGCGTGTGTGTCCGTGCGTATGGTCCGTGCGTGTGTGTCCGTGCGTGTGTGTCCGTGCGTGTGAATCCGTGCGTGTGTGTCCGTGCGTGTGTGTCCGTGCGTGTGTGTCCGTGCGTGTGTGTCCGTGCGTGTGTGTACGTGCGTGTGTGTCCGTGCGTGTGTGTCCGTGCGTGTGTGTCCGTGCGTGTGTGTCCGTGCGTGTGTGTCCGTGCGTGTGTGTCCGTGCGCGTGTGTCCGTGCACGTGTGTCTGTGTGCGTGTGTGTATGCGCGGGCGCGCGCGTGTGTGTGTGTGTGTTGCGTGCGTGCGTGTGTGCGTGCGTGCGTGCGTGTGTGCGGGCGCGCGTGTGTGCGGGCATGCGTGTGTGCGTGCGTGCGTGCGTGCGTGCGTGCGTGCTTGCGTGCATGCGTGCGGTTGTGTGTGTGTGTGTGTGTGTGTGTGTGTGTGTGTGTGTGTGCATGGGTAGTGTGCGCGCGCGCGCGCGGTGTGTGTGTGTGTGTGTGTGTGTGTGTGTGTGTGTGTGTGTGTGTGTGTGTGTGTGTGTGTGTCTTGACAGACTCAATATTATGGGAGCAACGTTATGAACAGGCTTTTATACTAACCAAAATTTGAAATACAACACTTTCAGACCTGGATTGGATGATAGTCAGTTTTAGAAAAGTTTTTAGAAAGAAAGTTCGTCATTTTGTTTTTGAGCTTGGTTTGAACTTTTCATGTCTTGTGACCAGGAGCAGAGTCTTGTTGAAAAGTTCGTGAAACATTTTTGAAAATTTTATAACTGCGAGGCCCCACTACTCGCTCCAAATCTCTTGATAAACTTTGACCGACGTCTTTATTTCTTTTTCTCAATAATCTTCATGTCACAAATTCGCAGCCTCTTTCCTTCGTAGCATACCCCCCTGCATAATTCCCCTACCGAACCATGAGTGATTAAGGATGATCACATTGTAGTTTTCGAGCATGATGCGAGTTATCTTTAGAGCTGCGAGCATACATTTTGTTATTTCGCTTGTACAGTTGCAGCTTGTACAGTATTCAATCGTATTTTTTAACTTTAAAAAGCACGTTTCTGTGTCTTCTATCACCGTATCGGCATAGCATGAGTTTTGATCGATCCTCTCTTAGAATGTAAGGACTGGTATAGTGCATATCCTGTTGGTCGATTGTAAGCACCTTACATACCTTACTGCGTAAATATTTTTTTGTTTTCTTGTATAGTTTCACAGCTTTTCGGTTTAGCACGGCATGACCCTGATCTTTAATACTCTTCTACAGAAGAATTATTGATGTACCTGTCTATAGTGCAATACACAAATATACAGCTTATGCTTAGCTATTGAAGCTTCTCAAAGGAGATTGACGACTCGATACACACTTTGAGTAAAGCAATCACTGCAATTCTGTATTCTATATGTTTCCCCACTCCATTATGTGACTCGAAATCATGTAAAAAAATATGACATTAAATAGCGGCAAATCAATCAAAGCTTCATACATATTAAATACATTCTAAATAAGATGAATTCAAAGGAGGAACTTTTAAAATTCTAACATTATTTGTGGCCAATCTGACAGCACGTAATTTTAGATATCAGTCGTGAAAAAAATTGTGTTCATTGAGTGTTATAAATATTTTATAGTATACACACATATATATCGTTAAAATTTTACGTAATTTCAATATCTTTATAGGTAGTGCCGATAGACCAGGACAGCGGCAAGTATACGTCGTCCGCGATCCAGGATACGGCGGTGGAAGCAACTCTGTCAAAGCCCGAGCTGAACGTGAAGAGCCTCGTTGCCTAACGTGTGAACTGGCTGTATGGCCCGCTCGCCTTCATTACGCCAATTGCTCGTTTTGGAGAGCTGCTTTTTCTCCACCTAAGCCTAAAATTGGCATTACACATTATGTCTTAGAATGTGGAGGTCCAGGCCCACCGCTTGCAGGACTTCATAATGCTAAAACGCATAAATTAGAAAGAATATTGTATGATACGAGGCCTTATAGGTAAGTAAATTGATGCATAATATTGTTTAATTAAAATTTCATGATATTGAGAGAATTCATAATCTGCCTTGTATTTTAGTAACAAACCTCACGCCTGCCACTCATAGGGGTAGGCAGAGTCAACGGACTTTCATTTGGCATGATCATGACATACCATTTTCGCTTCTTTCACATAATACATGCTCGTCGATTAAGGGTGCTCTTAACTTGGACCATCTTTCATATATCGCCAATTTGGTGGATAAACTTCATTATTTGCAGCATAAATCTGCATTGTCACTTTTCGTATTCATTCTTTCTTCGTATAGAAGCCACTAAAGAATTTCTTTCTTAATCCTGGTTCCACCAACTTGCAAACCACTCTTCTCCTAATTTTACCCAATCAATTAGATTCAGGCCTATCATACTTTTTAATGATCGCATTTTTACAGCATTTATTTTACTCTACTTTAATTTTATTTTAATGATTAGGTGTCTTAATAAATTATAAAATCTTTTTTAGATCGGTACGTTTACGAGAGTTAGCTCTGCCAAGTAGACGGTCCTTCGATGTACAACTGAGTAGTGGATCTAAAGCCCGCGTGCAACTGCTATTGCCACCTTCTTGGCGAGAAGAACTTCGTGATGCAGCTTTTCCAGTTCTTGTTCACGTGTATGTTTTTTTATTTTTCAATAAAATAAAGTTTTTATGGTCTACGAACATTAAAATTTTATAAATAAATTGCTTTTGGTACATTTTCAATAAATATAGATTTGATTTTTGTTTCATATATTGTAGCGATGGCAGACCCGGTAGTCAACAGGTAACCGAGGAATTCCTCGTGGACTGGGGATCGTACATGTCATCACGTAACGATGTTGTATACGTCAAATTAGATGTGGCTGGCGCTAAAGGATTACCTCGTGCGTTGCTTCGTGGACGCCTTGGAGGTGTTGAAGTCGCTGATCAGTTGGCTGTTATTAGGTAAAGGGGTCCAATTTTTTTTAATTTATAATTTTTAATTACATAATTAAAAAAAAATTATTACAAACAAACATTAACCACTTTATTTACAATTAAATGTTGTCAATAGGATACGTAGACATTAGTAAAAAAAAACTAATGTACCGTGAAAGTGCCAGAAAGAACAATTCTTTGCATTGTACGATTATATTATTTCTTATTATTTAATGGTGGCTCTATCTTTTTTTGTAATTAAATGATAATTTAATAACAATGAAGTCAATTTTTAACGAAAAGTATTAAGAGCAACGGTTCTCATTTCTTTGATTTTTATACTGGCTTTGTTTTTCCTCAGGTACTTATTGGAAACTTTTAAATTTCTTGACGTAACTCGTGTTGCTGTTTGGGGATGGGGCTACGGCGGTTACGTTACGGCGATGCTTCTTGGATCACAGCAATCTACTCTAAAATGCGGCATAGCCGTTTCACCAATTACAGATTGGCTGTACTACAGTGAGTATTATTGTATATTATATTATATTAATACTCTTTATTGCACACAAAATAATACAAAGCACAACACACTTAAATTCATAAATGTATGTATAATTAGGTGGCCTTATCGCTAAACAGCGATCTCTTTCAGGCAAACCTTGGTGAAGGAGAACTTTTTCGTATAAAATATAGAAGTATGCATAAATAGTAGATAAAAATATATAGCTATATATATATATATATAAAATAATATATCTCATATATATATATATTGTTTTGTTGCTTATCGTTTTTGTGAATACGAGTAAAATTGTTGGATCAAGAAAGTATCTGTAAAAAATTATTTGTGTATTAGAAGTGTACGCTTGTATTAATTAATTTTCCTTTATGGCTCGAGGAAAAGAGTAGTAAAGTATCAGAAACACAAGGACTCAAATATGTCTAAAGTGGATATGTAATAATGAGTGTCACGTTTCGTCACGCACAAATTGGCATCGACTGTCACTCTCAGGAATCACTACTGGAGACAAAAATACGAGATTGTCACTTAAATAGTATCCTTCACAGAGTTTTTCAAGTACACCGAATACTTTCGAAAAAAGGACGCTACAAATGTTAAGGGCACAGGATATTGCTTTAAAATAATATATTGTGAGATTGGATAACTAGGGCAAATATCTATGGTTGACTTTAGATAGGCAGTAATGAATGAATTTATTATACATACATAATATTTAACAGCAATAAAACAGCGATAGGCAACACACTTAAATGTGTGTAATTAAAATTCGTAGCGTAATTAAAATTCGATTGTACCATAATAGGTGCAGATTGCAATCACATCATAAGACAGTAGCTACAGGTTGTTCTTACATTAATTTAAGACCACCGAAAATACGCAGCAAACTTAAATGTGTCTAATTAAAATTCATAGCGTAATTTAAATTTGATTATACCATAATAGGTGCCGCTTAAAATCACATCGTAAGGTAGTAGCTATAGGGTACTCCTACGTTAATTTAAGACTAACGAAAAAAAAGCGATTAGCAACACACTCAAATATATTTAAAAAAATTGCTGTCTTACAAAAACTCGAAAACGGCTAGACCGAGTTTGATTAATTTTTTTGTGTTTATTTAAGTAGGGTTCCTGGATAGTTTAATTCTCAATTAGACCCGGTAGGTGGCACTATTTTCGTGATCCAGATATCATCCTTGCCAAACCGGAGCCAGTGTTTAATAATTTATTAAAGTCTATCCAAAGTCCACTGCTGGACATAAACCGCCTCTATAAATGGCTTCATAGGAGGGATTTTGCCCAGTTAACATATACATAGAATGTTATAACTACATAATACCGTAATTTCTTGTATGTGTGCTCCCGGCCTATCCTCGTACAAAATAAGGTTGACAGCCATTCTACTACGTATTATAGTATTCTATGGTTAGCACGCTTGGTAGGCGGGTGGGTAACCACAGTTTTTTTTATTATTTTCAGTTGTTATTAGAAAGACGCTGCTGCGAGTCTCTTGTTGCATTTCTCTGGGGTAGTAAATTCTTTTACTTCGCCACTACACGGCAATTTTAAGGTTTTACATTTCTATGATAATTATTTTTATTTGTTTCAGATGTAGCGTTTACGGAGCGTATTCTAGGCCAGCCGTCAGTCAACTACAAGGGCTACGTGGAAGCCGACGCGTCACAGCGCGCTCATCATGTCCCAGCGCATGCTTTGTACTTGGTTCATGGCATGGCTGATATGAGCGCTCCCTACCCTCACGCCTTACAACTGGCGAGAGCACTTACCGACGCGGGCGTTCTCTTCCGATATCAGGTGCATTTATAAGTTAAAGGTGCCAATTTACAAGGGTGCCGTATCACGAGTCGTTCTTCTTCGCCATCGGTCTTTCATTGATTTGCCAGAAAAGTTCCCTTTAGCAGGTAGATTGACAATCGCATTAAAAAGGAATCGTACCTTTGAGGCTGCGTCCTGTCGCCGCCCGGATATTTGACTTAAACCTGTTTGATGTTTATACGACTCTCTTTCGGCCATTAAATGTCATGGCATGTTCAATAGCCATACTTTACGACCCCCACGATGCATGAAAAAAACCATGACCCGGATTGCCATATGATATGTCTTTGATATGGTTGAGGGGATGGCTAATACATTGCGAAATACGAGATTTCTGAGAGGTCTCCTTTCCTGTTTAAAATTCATCTTCCAATAACTCATAAATGGTTAACAAGGCGCCTTTTCTTCGTATACAAAGAATCCTCTTTATTTATAAACAACAATGTCTTCCTCATAATTATTTTGAAATGGTGATTTTTTAGAAAATTATAATAATACTTGATTTATCTTTTAGGCATATGCTGATGAAGGACATGACTTAAAAGGCGTTATCGAGCATGTATACCGATCCATGGAAGATTTTCTTCGCGAATGTTTATCTCTCGATCCTGAAGATACAAAGCTGCCACCACCGGATAGATAAAAATGACAAACTGTTCACAATTATAAATTAATAAAAATTGTCCTGTAGCCGATACTACGAGTTATTTATTGTTATATGTTTTGTAAATATGTATATAGGAAATAGGGCTTTAATTTCTGTTCTTTTCGTTTTGAATAATTTCTTGCTTATGTTTGAGAACGTTAAAGTAATCTTATTTAATAATAGGTATGTTTGAAAGCCTTATTGAGATTAGAAATAGACAATCTTATGACGTTACATATTTTATTTTACAAGATAATTCGCATGAAGATGTGTAAAAGCGACTTATCTTTTTAGAGAGTTAGGTAATTTGAAAACGGATTAGCATTAAGGTTTACAGAACTATTTCATTTAGTCCATCATACCTTGCTTAGCACCGACGCCTAAATTATTGTACTATCTTTAAATTGGTCTACTGCAAGATTTACTGAAATTTAAATAACAGCTGGATTAACATTTTGTGAAAATGATTAACAAAATCTTCAAAATTTCTCCATAACTTAGGCAATATGCAGTTTAGTAAAATATATAAATGTTTAAATAAATATATAAAACCGTGTTATTATACACATTGTTAACTCTTTAAATAATAGAACTTCGAGCTTTTTCTCTTAAGCTTTTACTACTATCTTTTTTCTACTGCCACTTTTACATGTGATGCTATCAAAATTTTCTACGTAACTTTCTATAACAATTCTCACATGACTCGTAACAGTTAGGAAGCATTTTCCACGTGATTTGTATTTGATCGTCACGTCCTAATTATAATTATAATATTTATAATTTGTACATCCCTTATAAAAACTAGATCATGTGTGATTACGCAACCAAGAGCTTACCTTAGGGAATCTAAAAAGGCATTTTCAATGTAGACATTGTTTAATTCTAATTTACAGATAATAAATACATAATTATGTTTAATTTGACATAGCGCTGTTGGAAATACCTCATTCAATAATGTACATAATATCATAGACATACACAAAGCGATTGAAATTTTTTACTGTAGCAATTAATTATAATTATTAGAAATGAAGTGACCTTGATCATCCCCTTAACCTTAGCCGCTTTCGCTCTCGTATAATAACATTAACTTATTTATGACAGTTACTCACCTATTTGTTACATTAACTATCAGAAATAAACTCATGGTAACTTAGATTAATTTGTCAACATTACATAAACGTTTTATCAGTAAAGTAAATAACGTAGTAGGCGTTTTCTGCGCACGATTGAAAACATTCAAATAGTTAGTAAATTAAATAAATAACTAGATATTGAAACTGACTTACTAACGACTAAAGTATGCGTACAAAGTAGGGTAATGAGCTAGAGATTTTGCCTTTCGACAGATTGGTGTTAAAGTAATGTATGGGCAGTCAGACTTGAATACATGAGCGCGTTTAAAATATCTGTAAGTATCCACTAAACAAATTAAAAGATATTGAATCAGTTTTATTTAATTTTTAATAACTTGTCAGATTCACTGTTTCATGAAAATATAAGTAATATGTACTAATTGATTTAAGATGAACAAAACATCTTTAATTCATTCATAACAAGTTAAACTGTTGAGTTTATAAGCAATAAAATATTACCGCTGTTCATGATAAAAATGTGTGAAGTGAAGTCGGTTATGGATTGAGTTGTCGTTGCTGGTTACATGTAACTGTGAAAAAGTAGGTAATTCGTTGTTATTATATAGAGATAGACGTCTGCTGTTATTTGTTAAGAATAATCGGATACCTGCATAGGCGCATATCGTACATTCCATGTTTGTGAAGACTGCCAATTTGGTCTAAATTTTACATATAAAATACCTACGATACGTCGATGAGATTAATTTCAAATTACATTATGGTCTTAAGGATGCTGTGATTCTTCTATTGCGTAATTTTAAAGATAAATATAATAATAAATATAATATCCCCATCTGATATTGCATAGGGCCTAGTCGAATTGAATTCGTTACTATTGAAATTTAATCAAGTAAGATAATATTATTTAACATAACTTTTAATTCTTCCATTGTGGACAATGTGGCTTTGTTCTTCAACAAGTATATATTATATTAAACAAACATAGACAATATATTATGGGCTACGTGTACATCACACAACTATTGAGATTTTATAGTTATTACATAACGAGAGAGTTCGAAAACCGGGTGCTTTAAATTTTACATCATGTTATAAGTATTAATTTCTTTAGCGATTGTTCTCTAGTTATACAAGAAATGTATTTATTACTCGCCGCTGGGAAGTGCGGCATTCGGGTATAAGCGGCACGTTACAAACGAGTGGAGCACTCGTGTGTATTCACTAGTTATACGGTACGTGCAAAATAAGAATTTAATAATTCGAATACTTTTGAGGGGTTGTACTTAGTTAATGGGAGGATTTCTGCAAATAACACCAATTAAATCATGTAGATAAAGTAATCAATTAATATTATAAACAGGTTGTTGTTAAATTTTATCACGAACATATTATTTACAAAATTGTTTGCACTCCGCTTCTCCCTTCCGTAATTTAAGTTTATTCCTCTAATAAAAGTGTAGTAATTTAGTCTTCCATTATATTGAACGCTTCTGTACCACGTTGGTACAAATTTATTCTTGGATCAGAAAGTAGGCACTATGTGATGACTATGTCAATTATTTCGTTATCCAAACTCTGGTCAGCTACATGTTTACATAGGTAGTCTATGTGTCATTTTTGTAGTGTTCACTTTAAATCTTTGGAAGTTAGTTTAGATTTTCGTCCTAGTTTTGTTCTTAATGGATGTGGTATAAATGTGAATCAGTAATGCATTCTTAGAATCTTTGCGAATTACGATAGACTGTACTCGACAGACAACTAATGAAATAAATGAACATTAGAGAAATTTTCAGTTAAGTCTGATTTTAATATATGTCAACAATAATTCAAGTAAAATTAAGCAAAAAAAAAAAATAAATTGTAAGACCATACATAATATTTACCGACATACTTGATTCTAAACACGATGAATTTTTAAGGAGACATGAATGGCCGTATTCAAACTAGGAGCATCACCATCAAAGACAGTAGACTATGATAGATTGTAATGATCACTGATGATGATCATTATAGTCTATTAAAATCTATTGCTGAAAATAGGTTTATTTCCTTAGATTAGAAATATATGAATTTATCATAAAATATCATTTTTATTCAAGCGCAGTTTTAAATTTCTTTGTTGTTATTAGTGACGATGCTGCCCATTTCCTGTTTGTTTCAAACTGTCCTCTTTTGTGACACCAAAGGGACAATATGCGGTAGTAAATATTCTTACACAATTTATCACAAAGGGCAAGTTAAAAGAAAGTGTTTTTTATTTTCTTTCACGTTTTATGACTTGTACGCTCTGTATAAAAGTTTTCTTCTTTTTCAACTTTCCTGAAAATGTACCCAACTCATAGCAAAGGTGGCTTTTCGTTACTTCCACAATTTTAACCAGCCATCAATCTTTAGAACCTCTTTATTCCGGTTATGTTTCTTGCTTATTAAGGTCTTTTTCTACGCGTACAATCCAGCATGTTTTGTTTCGAAATTCATTAAAACATTATTTTAATTAGATCAGATGCTGTATTGAATTCAAAGTTGTCCACCATCCAGATTATTCGTGCTCACCTAAAAGTTCATCTTTTTTGCTCCAAGATTACGTTTCTTAAAAAGTCCTAATTTACTAAGCCTTAAACTGTACGTATCTAAAATTTAATTTTTAAATAAAATGGCCAAGTTATAGCGTATACTACACTATACATACACACGCATAAAGTAGGGTTCCGCTTTGTATTATTTCCTTTAGTTATAAAACAATTATCAATGGTATATTTCCAGCCACTTCGAATTTTTACAACATCCTGCAAACTCTAGACCGGCTTAAGCACCAATGTTAAATAATTTGTCCTTTAGGGATTCATTTCTTCGGATTACTTTAGCTCAAATGACAACATTTTTTTATTTTTATCTTCCTTTATGATCATTTAAATTTAAAGTATTTAGATTATTAGTTGCGATATTAAAACTCTAGGGTTGCATTTTTTAATTTGATATTTATTGGGTGACAGCTTAATTATTTTTAAAGCCCTAAATAACGGTACCCACTTAATTTAAAAAGTAAAAAAGCTTGTTGCATTCCCTGTTTAAGTATATTTTTAATTTAAATTTGAGACCTATGTCGAAAGAATAATTTTAATTTTAAGTAATGGTACTAATTATGACATACGTACAAAATAAAATCAAATTTCAAGGGTTCTTTATATGAAAGCGGAATCATAAAATGGATGAAGCAAGAACTACATTAGGCTGAAGTACACGTCTTAGGCTCATACTTAGTGTGTATACCAAACCGAAAATAAGCTGGTTGTTGACCGAGTGAGGGTCCTATTATCGGTGAGATAAACATTTACTGAGATTCTGAAGAAAAGTTATTTTATTGAAAGCTTTCATTCGTTCCAGATAATAAAAAATACAAAAAGAAAACTTCAAGGTTTTCACAACGTTCAATTTAGAATGGAGAAATTTGGTGAATGTGTAATAATATAATATAATATCGTGAAAAATTTGCTTTTTTACTTATTTTATTCAATCATTTTTGTAATCAACATCTTCGCGTCGGAAAATAATTTCACCAGCGGGCGCTCGTTTAATTACGCTAAATGACGTGTGTTACGCCGTCCTATATCCGTAGACAGAGAAACCTATAGACAAATTGACGTCTTCTTTCGCATTCGCACACGAAAAAGATAGATTTATGCATACGTCTTGCATAGAAATGAGACAAAGCGGTGTGATTGTTTGTCACTTTCACCGTGCCGGTTTTTTTGTTTAGCAAACTACACTTTGCTAAACAAATTTGACAGTTTGTAGCGATCTAAAGAGTTTACAAGTTGGTTTAAGTGAGAAAAAAGTGTTGTGTGAGTTTAAGATTGGTGAATCTTGTTCAGTTCAGTTCTTAAAACAATTAAAACTTTT